AATTACTCAAGACCTCTACAAAACTTACAAAAAATCGAGCAATCTGTTCCATGGATGTCTCAGAGCAGAATTTTTAAAATTTTACAAATTTATTATTATAAGAAAACCAGGTTTCAGGCTAGAGATAATAATTACAATAGTAATCATTATTGAGAGCCTATTATATACCAAGCATCAGTACTAAAAGTAACCGAAGGGACTAAATTTTAAAATATTCATAAAATTAAACAATTTCGAAGCTTGTTTAACACTAGGATAAGAAGACATGATCATTTCTTCCTTAATATTCAACACAAATGCATGAAATACCATGGATTGAACACTATACTCTTCTAAAAGGGACCATGTAAGCAATAGCCTAACAAAAAATAATATAAACTCCTAGAGTTCAGGCTTTTAACTATTATTTGGGCATCAAAAATAATTTAGTTGTTTGCTGCTCTAAAGTCTCCTGATGCTGTGGAAATCCAGGCCATCATCAACCTAAAGACAACGTAACTACTTGACATCACAATCTCATTAATCTTCATCTGTCCTTCATATCCTGTCATTCTTATGCAAAATGGACTCAAGGATGCAACTTCTCTTCACTTATCTATAAGCTGAAGGAGGAGGGTAGGGGGGTAAAAGGTCTATGGAGACTTCAGGATACCACTGGAGACCCCAACCAATCACTTTACTCAACCTAGTGTGCTACATTACAGTTATTGTGTTTGACAAGTAAATATGACATAGCAGGAAGTAGGATAATGTGATTCTTGAGCTATATGTCTCACTTCCCTTGCTGAAGCCCCAGGAAGCTCCAGCTTTAGTTTCCCCAGACTATATGAAACTGAAATATTGTCCAAAAAAGACACAAAAAATGTGCAACATATGGATCACATAATGATATCAATTTCACTCCTCTGACAGTCCAAGAATTCTCTCCGTTCCAATATACTAACTTAAGGTCATCATGACATAGAGGTTGTGGGTTAATAGGCAAAAGGACTGTAAAGTAAGCTAGCTAATTTACAAGGCCAAACACCTGAATTAAATGTAGCCAAAGTTAGACTAAATGCATTATTTCTTTCACACTAGAACAGTCCTTTTTCTTTCCAGTTTTATGCCAAAAACAAAATTTCTACCTTTCAGTATCAGCACAGGAAATTTACTTTAATTCTCCTGTTGCCTATTCTCTTCCTACTACCGTTTCCTCCAGACAAGACAGGTGGTGAAAACTATGTCTATTCATTTCATAAAAGGAAGTTGTTTTTTTTTTTTAAATCATCTCTTAAGACTGCTTTGTTTCTAATGGCACATTCAGGGCACAGTTTGAACACCATGTTCTAATCACACATGTGCTGAAACTTTTCTTATAGTGCTATTAAACAATACACAAATAATGCTGTATAACAGTTCAGAGAAAAAAATCTAGAAAATATACCTCTGATATAGTTTATACCATCTGAGTAATAACAGAAGTACAGCTAACAAAAAATTCACACTACACATGAATATGGAATTCTACCTGAAATAGAAAACAATTAAAATATTTTTTACAAAAATCACTGATTATTTAAAGTAGTGTTTTTTGTACAATTACAGATACATGTAGAATGTAGACCATGGTTCAATGTACTAAATTCAAAGTTGTACTTGAAAGCATAGCATATCATTTGATGATCTTGAAGGCACTGCTTTACCACTTAAAAATACTTTTTCCATTTACCAATTTTATGTTTTACTGCCAGTCATAATTATATTATTTCATCTATTACAAATTAAACATTATAAATTTTGAAAATCTGAATAGTAAATTAAAAAGGCCTTTAGATCCCCTGACCTAGAAAATTGAGTCTTTGTAGCTAATAACAAACACTTTCAATAACTTTTAAGTGTGCTCATCCAAGATTAGCTGGTTAAAAAAAGTTGGATTCCTAATTTTTAAAACTAACCAATATATGTACATGTGTGTATATATATGAACATGTGTGTATATATATGATGCATGCATATATACAAGCATACATATAAATACACATATATATATGTGTGTGTTTGTATATGTTTGCACTTCTCTCTGAAGCCTCCTGAAGCAAAGGTTAATCAGTCAAAAGATGTTACCAGTGTGTAATAATATTGGTACTTAAAACACTTATTTTGGACAATTAGGTGGTTTGAGAACCAAGGTATTAAAGGTAACATTTTATAAAGGATCAAAAATATGACTAGAATTTTGGCAAGATATTTTCCAAACTTTAATTTCTCAAACTGTGATATTGGAGACTGTCACTTATGAGTTGACATAATAAAATACAGCATCTGCCTTCTAAGGCAAATATTATTAGCAAGTAAGAAACATATTTAAAACAATGCACAAAGAAATGTAAAAAAGAACCACTTCCATCCCTTCAATCTCCCACCTTCGGAGACAAGTTCTGCCCCAAATCCAGTTAATCATTTTCTCCAAGGCCAAGATATCCACAGACTAAAGTATCCCCAAAAGAATGGAAGTCATCTACCATTATCTTTGGGGTTTTGACGTATTCTAAGATGAGACTGAAAAAAGGTCCAAAACCTTAGAGTGGCCCAAGATAACTTATTATCTCTAGGTTTATATTAAAAATTTATTGGGGTCTTTTGTATCAGGTATAGGTAAAACCTAGGATAAATTTCACCTTACTGCAAAATACAACAGTTGGGGTTCAATCTAGGTCTTACAGAGGGAAAAGTAAGAAAAAGAGGTAAGTCAACAATTCTACTGTATTAAATAATAGGCTTACTACGTGTTATACATATAAAGAACATGAAAAATGTATCCTTTAAATAAAGGAGTTTAAATTCATTTATCCTTTTCTATTTTAAGAGAGATTATATGTATAACTGGAAGAAAGATATATCTGGACAAGGCAAGGCAGAGAAATGCTCCATCTGAGAAAAGATAGAATCCACAGAAAAGGACATTTCAAAGGAGCAGGTTTGTAGCCAATCAAATGACTGGCAAAGATAAGTTGGTCTCTGTGAAAGTTGGAAGTTGTTCTTAGTGCCCAGAAGAGAACTCACATAGGGGTTGGGGAAGAAGCTGAAGAGCACTGTGGTAGAAAGAATTTTGCTCAGCCACAAGATTCTGGTCCTCTGCTAGACACACACCTTCTCCCAGTTATTCCATCAAATGTTGGACTAGGTGCTATTGGGAAGGGCTTTTGCAAATGTAATGAAGATCCTGAACCAGCTGACTTCAAAGTAGAGAGATTTTCCTTGGTCGGCCTAACTGGATCAGGTGAGACTTCAAGAGACTAGGCTTTTCCTAGCAATAGAAATTTAAAGTGTAAGATGGATAAAATATGATGGAGATTCTCCATTGCTGTCTTTGAAGATGGAAGGGACCACATATGTGGGTCTCTAGGAGCTGAGAGTGGCCCCCAGCTGACATCTAGTAAGAAAATTCAGTCCTTAGGTCTACAGTCACAAGAAGTGAATTCTGCCACAATCACGTGAGCTTAGAAGAGGAATACCAGCTCCTGATGAGAACGGTTGGCCAACACCTTGTTGAGTCCCTGAGCAGACAACTCCATCATGCCACACCCAGATTTTGACCTACGTATAGAAACACTAATAAACGAGTATTGTGTGAAGCTGTTAAATTCGAGGTAATCTGTTACACAGCAAGACAAAATTAATACAAGCACTAAACAAGCTAAATCATACAGCTTGATTTAGAAGAACCCAAGAGGTTTACTATAAGACCAAAGTCCTACTTCAAGACATGTGTCTAACATCAAAGACATACAATATTAAGAAACCAAAGACGGCCACTATTAGATTAGACGTTGTAGAGAAAAAAAACCTAAGAAATTTTAGAGCTCATTAGCCATGGGGTAACCAGGAGACAAATGTCATAAAAAAACAATGTATATTTACCTGGATAAAGATGATTCTTGGATTCACTGAAACCAAAAGGTGGGATTAGGTAATCTCTAAGGTCTCTTTCAGCACTTTCTGTAATTCTTGTCAAGACACAATTCTATCTTTTTTATAGACATCAGAGATGTCTGGGCACCAACCCAGATCCTACAAATGCTCATAACTTACCTAGCTTCTTGTAAAACACTGCAGCAGAAAGGGCACAATTTAACTTATTAAGGTTCAAAGCTTTCTTACCTGCATCTGACCAAGGGACTTTAGCACACAGCAAAATACCTTCCCACATAAAACCTCTTTTCATATCTTCAAAAAGATGATTTCTTTCAAAATCCCATTGTTAAAACCGAAAGTTTGTATATATGTGCACAGGGAGGGAGGAGCTCATAAGGTCATGGACATGAGGCAATAACAGCAACAAAAAAAAGAGAAACTGGTTCATGCCCTGGGAGTAAATTTTTACTCTCAGTTTAGATCATTAAGTATAAATTAGGCACTTAAAAGTTAAGTGAACTCATTTATTAAAATATGACTTGGGGAAAAGTCGTGGTAGCAATAGCTTGAAAGTGTTAATTTTGCACCTATGTAGCTTAATTTAAGCCTAAGTAACTTAAGAGAAATAAAATCCATTGTCATTTTTATTCTAATTACTCTGAAAGCAACTGAGAGGCCAGGACTTCTAGAAAGTTGTTGAAAATAACTTGAGTCTAACTAGTAGTAAATAGCTGGAAGCTTACCTTAAAATAATGAAAATGTTAAAAAGTTCTGAAAAAAAATCAGATGAAACACAAAAAGAATTTCAGAACTTAAATACTCTAGGGAAATATACCAAGAATTTAATGCAACAATGAGGGAGGGAAAACTCAAGGGGTTACAAAATAGTTTCATTAATACCAAACATAAGTAATAAAAACATAAACAAAATCTTTTCTCAGTTCTCTTCATTTCCTTTAGTTTAATCTTTCAGTATCCTCTAAATAACAAACTGATTAGAAAGTAATTTGACAGGAAAAAAAAACCCCAAACCCCAAAATCCCCAACATAATCAAACGATCCAGTTCTTGACTTTAAAATGCCCAGACTGGCTTCTTTCTTACCTTGTCTATCCTATCTGGACGGTTAGTAGCTGCCAGGATTGTCACATCCTTTAACTGTTCAATGCCATCCATTTCTGTCAAGAGCTGAGCCAAAACACGATCGGCAACATTCCCAGCACCTGATGAACTGATTTTTAAAAATACAGTTTTAAAAATCTGTTTATCTATCCCCAAATACTTTACTATTTTTAAAAGATCGTATATTCTATAACAAGAAACATTATGTCTTTTTCAAAACATACAATGCATGCTTCAGAATTCATTACTTGAATTAGATCCAAGAACTAACTATATTAAATCATTTCTTTTCCTCCATCAACAACCATGATTATTTTCTTTCCAATAATGAAATGCTAAGAGTGTCAAATATAAAAGATCTGGGAAGTAAGAAATAAGATTATTTTTAAAAGTTCATCAAATACGTAATTATTTAACTTAATCAATATTTACATTCTTTCTTTTTTTTTTTTTTTTTTTTTTT